TTCTATGTTCTGAAATTTTCAGCAAAGCTGAAAAATTTTGAAGGAAGTTTCTGGAGGGTATAATTTGGCTTTTCTTTTGGGTCTTTTTTTGAGTCCGCTTCACTATTTAGGGTTTCCTAACCGTGTAGCTTTTATCATCTAGACGCTTCCTTTAAACCTAGGTATTTCAAAAAACAATGAGTCATTTTGGGTGTTTTCTGTTTTCTTAGCTGTTAAGGGGATTTCAAAAAATGCTGACATCATTTTCACCCCCCCCCCCCCCCCCTCCCTCTAATATTTTTCCCACTAAAGTATGTGTACTTGACACTTGATACTTATAAAACCGAAATCACTATCTTTTCTCATTTTTCTTATCTTTTCTTATCTTTTCTTGCTCAGAGCTCTCGTAGCAAACTCATTTTGTTCGGTTTTGTTTGTTTGGAAATTTTTGGCACTATTTTTATACTCGTCACTGTTTCTATTTGATTTTGAGAAGGCGGGAAGACTTGAAAATTGGTTTAAATGGTTTTAGAATCCTTTAAAATTCATTTTTGAAGTTTTTTGTCCAAAAAAAAGTTCAAAACTATGTTTTTCGAGACTTTTAGCATTTTACCATGATTTTTAAAATTTTGATTTCTTAAAATTTCAGATGTTCAGCCTAGGGACCCTATAAAATAGCTCAAATCACTCTAAAAAACATGCCAAAAAAATTTCCACCGGGCGGAATCGAACCCGGGTCGTCAGATTGGTAGTGAACCCCTTCAAAATCCCACTGCGCCATTTGTGCATTTTTTGGAAAAACGCCCGAAAATAGTGGGAAAATTGAATTTTCAGTATTGGAAACAATTTTTATCATGTTTTTCAAGTGTTTTGGTGCTGAATTTCATTTTTTTGGAAAAAACTTGGAAAAAAAATTTTTTTCGAAAATGTTCAAAAACAGGAATTTTTTGAAAATCTAGATTTTTGGAATCTAGAATGTCTGAAAAAGCTCTGAAAATGTTCAAAAAAAAAAAAGCAAAAAAAATTTGCCGCCAGGCGGAATCGAACCCGGGTCGTCAGATTGGTAGTGAAATTCCCACTGCGCCATTTTTGCATATTTTCGTAAAAACTGCAAAAAAATCGATTTTTCAAGTTTCTATACTACTTTTTTTGTGTTTTTTTGTGATTTTTCAATGTTTCGGAACTATTTTCCCATCATTTCCCACATTTTTTTAAAATCGAAAAAAATCTGGTTAATTTGATCCCAAGATTTATCCCAAGACCAAAGAATGCTTCCAAACCAAAGATTTTGTATACTTTTCCTGTGTCGCCAAAATCACAGACGAAAAGTGTGTAAAATGTGTACCAATGGGGTCCGGTCCTCCGGGGTCATCCCCATCGGAAAAGACCGCTTGGCTTTTTTCAATTTCTCTCAATTTTCACTTCCTCCCCTCCACCCTTTGTCTCACAAAAGTGCACCTGAACTTTTATTTTGTTTTTTTGAGGTATTTTGTTAACATACGCTACAAATTCTATAATTTATCTGTAAAATTCAAATTCCCCAAGTTTTTAGCTTCAAAATGACTATAAACATGTCTAGGTTCTGGAAATTCCCTTGATTTGGCTGAAACTTTGGCTGGCAATAGTCAGATTTAGCTGACACTCAGTTTTTTGAGCATATCCCATTGAGAGCTTCAAAATGAGCCTAAACATGACTAGGCTCCGCCCACTTTGATTTTTCCGACTTTAAAGGCGCAGAGGGGTCCGAAAAAAAGAAGTTCATGGAAATTAGGTCATGATTATGCCCATTTTGAAGCTCTCATCATGGTTGATGTAACGCTTTAAGATTTTCGAGCCTCCGGCAAAAATAACAAAGTTACGGTAGTATTGGTTTCTAGAGGTTTCTAGAAACCCTAGGAAGGTTTAAACAACCGTAACTCTGTCACTTTTTAGCTAACTTCCTTTTATTTTGAATTTCTGAATTTCGCTAAATAAGAGCTTTGAAATGAGTATTAACATGACCTACTTTTCTCGAATTTTGATTTTCGGGAGATTTTAAGCTCTCTTTGCGCCTTTGAAGTGGTAAAATCCAAAATGGGCGGAGCCTAGGCATGTTTATACTCATTTTGAAGCTCTCATCAAGACAAATTTAATTTGCATAGTTTAAAAAGCAAGAAATCAATGTTCAGGTTGCTAGCATCCTTTCAGAATTTACGCAAGTCGCATGAGTTCCTGCAGATAAAAACTATAACTCAGAAAAAACCCATTCACATGTTTTTCAAATTTTATGTTTTGGAACCCACTTAGCGCCAGAGAATGTTTTGAAGGATCATAAATTCTTAGGCGGTCCCTTTTCCCTCTCTCTCTCTCTCTCTCTCTCTCTCTCTCTCTCTCTCTTTCTCTCTTCTCATTCGGGCGGCGCCTCCTGGCAGTTGGCGCCAGAAAAATTCTTTGTGCTCTTTTTACACGAGAGCCTGGAGACGCAGAGAAAAACATCGAGTGCTAAAGAAGTGCGACTTTCAGACGGCGCCTTTAAATACCCCCTCTTGAGTGGTCCAGAATTATTTTTTGCTACTCAAAACTAAAAATCTACCGTGACTCATCAAATTTTTGTTCAATTTACTACATTTATAAAGATTTGAACTTCCGACGTTTAGAGCTTCAAAATGAGTATAATCATGACCTACTTTCCTTGAATTTCCATTTTGGGGACCCCTATGCGCCTTTAAAGTGACAAAAACCAAAAGAGGCGGAGTCTAGTCGTGTTTATACTCATTTTGAAGCTCTCGACCTCATTTTTTCGATTTTCTTGTTTATTTTCACGTTTCTCTCGTATTTTTCTAAATTTAACAACAAATTCAAATTTCTCTTCCAGATGACCGGTCTCCTGAAACGGTCGGCCACTATAAACGAGGCGACACGTACCCGACGTCACAAATTTGCACTCAAATATGACCTAAATAATAATACAGAGCAGAAAGAGTTGGAAGCTCAGGAATGTCCATCTGGAGCCGGGATGAGTGAGACTTTCGTGTGGGATTGGCCATTTAGTAATGATGGTGAGTTGAAAGGCACATAACTCGAAAACGAGTGGAGTTATTTGAGTAAATTAAATTGGAAAATGTGTAAAATTGAATTTCCTTTATTTTTGTAGTTTACAAAATTTTTGTAGGTACAGTAGATTTTGAGTTATGTCTTTAAAGGTGACTGCGCTCCTTTTAACCTGGGAAGGGGGAGGGGCGGCAAGTTTAAAAGGGCATAACTCAAAAACGGTTGAAGCAATTTGAGTAAACTAATTTAGAAAATGTGCAAAATACAATGTTTTTATTTTTGTAATTTGCAATTTGTTGATAGCTACAGTAGTTTTTGAGGTATGCGCCTTTAAAATCACGCGCGCTTTTCTTTGCTTGAAGACAGTGTGTGACAAGTTTAAAGGCGCATAACTCAAAAACGGGGGAAGCTGTTTGAATAAATTAAAATGGGAAATGTGTAAAACTTAATTTCCGTTATTTTTGTAGTTTTCAAAATTTTAGTTGCTACAGTAGCTTTTGAGTTATGCGCATTTAAAGTTGACTCGCGCTCTTGCCTGGAGAAGGGGGGACTCGGTGAGTTCAAAGGCGCATAACTCAGAAACGGTTAAAGTTATTTGAATGAATCAAATTGGAAAATGTGTAAAATAAAATTTCAAACCTTTTAACATTTTAGACTATTCTAAAAGCTTATCTAGTTTTTGAGATAACTCGATTTGAAACACTTAGGGCCGAAAATTAGAAAAATCGTTTTTTTTTGCAAAAATTTGAAATTTTCAGGCACCGCCCCCGGCGCATACACCCCAGAAAAGTTCCTAGTCTGCTTGCCATTCAACAAAGGAGGTACCGGTGAAAAAAATGGGACGGTAGGTCAAAAAATTAAATCTTAAACAGCAAAAAATATTTTAAGAAAAACAATTTTTTAAATGTTTTTTTTTTGAAAAATATCGAATTTCAGAATGAGATGTCTCTTGTTTTTCAACTTTAACAAAAATTTTCAGACAAAAAAGTTCGAGCGCATCGCCGAGTCGGACTTCTCATGGAGCATGGGATTGTCACGTGACGCCGAGCTGGGCTCCACTTGCTTCTGGCGGCTGGAAATCGAGATTATTCGGAATATGAATGCAATTGTGCTCATTGCGTCAAGGTAATTATATTTGGGATGAAAACTGTTTTAAAATGAGTATAAACACGACTAGGCTCCGCCCATTTTGAATTATAGGACTTCAAAGGCGCATAGGGGGTCCGAAAAATGAAATTCACGGAAGTAGATCATGATTATGCTCATTTTGAAGCTCTCAACGTCAGAAATGCAGATCTGAACAAATTTTTGAATATTTATAAAATTATTGAAAAGTTACTGTAGATTTTAAAATTTTATAACTCACAAAAATCTTATTATCTTCATAAATCGCTTATTTTCCGAAAATTCAGTTTTTTTATTATAATACTTGAATTTGTCTTGTCACGAGCTTCAAAATGAGTATAAACACGACTAAGCTTCGCCCACTTGGAAAATTTGACTTTTTTGGGATTAAAGGCGCATAGGGGGTCCGAAAATTGAAGCTGTAGTAAAGTAGGTCATGATTATACTTATTTTGAAGCTCTCGGCATAGGCAATTCAAATATAACATTTATTTTGAGTTTGGGGCAAAAACCACTGGGTTACGGTACCACGAAGTTTCCAATTTTTTGAAATCTGACCTTGTTCATACTAATTTTGAATTTTGAATTTTCAGAGACATCAGCCGCTACTACGAGAATACCAAACGTCTGAAGCGTGTCCGAAAGATGTACCGTTTGCCGGACTACTATGACGTCACTACCGTAACCACTACCATGTACGATTGGGCGGTCGTCGTGGAGGCACAGAAAAAATCGATAAATCGTCCAACCATGCGTCGTGCGTCGACATTCCAGTGAATATATATCTTTCATCATTTTTTGAGATTTTTTGCAATTTTTTCTCTAATTTTCTGAACAATTTTTCTGTAATTTTATCATTTTTGAGATTTTTTTTTTCAAATTTTTTCGAAAGTCATTTTTTGTACTCCTTTGTACTCCCCTGTGTAGTACTTGTCTTTTTCCGATTTCCCACATTTTTTGCTTTCTGCAAAAAAATTATACTGGGGTTACTGTAAAAACTATTGTATTCATGTCATTTGTTAGCAATGCATTTCGAAATATCGTCATTTTTATCGCCTCGTCGCTTCGAAGCAAATAAAACAGAGAGAGAGAGAGAGTACGGAATTTCGAGAGACGCAGACATTTTCCTCAAAAACGTTTGCAGATTGGAATTGGAATCGATTCTGTACATGGAACTATGAGGGTTGTGCAAAGAGCAGAAAATCTTGAATCTATCCGGAAGTATGATTTTCTGTCTTACTGTAGTTTGAAATGAATCGTGATATCCACGATATTCAGAACTTGTAGAAGGTGTCTGTCGGTTAGTCTGCAGTCCTACGGTAAGCGCCAGGTTCAAATTTTGCAAATTCCATTGGAATCGGTTGGTTGGAGAATATCGGAGTGGTCCAAGCTGAAAAAAAAACACTAGGAACGCGTCAAGTAAGCCAATGTGATTGTGTCAAGACACTGAAAGAGCGCAAGAAGCAGTTAAAGTTTCAAGACATGCACTCGGCGAATTCTGAACTACTTGAATTCTCGATGTGTTGTCCTTTGGTTGCTTCTGAAATTTGAGGATTACTGTATTTTTCAAAAAAAAAAGTCACCAATTGTTTCGCTTTCAAGAACCATGCAACTTGTGCTCCAAATGTAGCCCTAATTTTAGTTATCGAATATCTCCCGGTTTGTCTAAATGGTTCAATGATATTTCTGAAAAAATCGGTCATCGAGACATTTGGACACACAGACAGACTTCGCCCCATGACTTTAATTTGCCTCAATCCCCATATCAATGATTTTTTTGCATCCACCATCCCATTTTGGAATGCCATAACTGCCAATGTACCCCACTTCCTCACCCCGTCTCAATTTGAAAATCTCCTTGATTCTTCTATTTCTCGCTACTAGCTATGATCCTTATTTTTAAAACATGTACAGTACTGGCCAAAAAGGTATTCGCAAATAGTTTTTCGAGCATAACTTTTCTGAAACTTCCCGATCAATCTGATATTTTAAGAAAAAGTTTAAAACGGTAAAAGAAACTGATTCAACAACAAGAATAGTCAAAATTTCAAAAAATTGAAAAAAAATCGAAAAATTCATGAAAATTGCAAAAAACCGGTAAATGGAACTTTGACTTTTGAGATCTAGGATAGACCGGTAAACGAAAAATAATAATAGAAAATGAATAAAATAGCTTTAGTACTTCGTTGGGAAGCCTTTGGCGTCGATTTCCGTTTGACATCTTCTTGGCATCGAGTCGAGAAGGGTGTCGATGACAGACATCGGGATGGCCTGCCAGACATCTTGGAGTTGGTCGAACTTCTGGTTGGCATTCGAGGCACGAACCCCTCTAAGCTGTCTCTCGACATGCTCCCAGAGGTGTTCGATCGGATTCAAGTCCGGAGATTGACTTGGCCAGTCCAGAAGATCCACGTGGCGGCGTCGGAACCACTCCTTGATGTGCTTCGAGGTGTGCTTCGGGTCGTTATCCTGTTGGAAAACGAACGCCCGGCCCACAGTAGACCTTGCCCAGGGTCTCATTGTGTTCTCCAAGATGTCTTCATACACAAAGCGATCCATGATGCTTGTAATTCTTCTCAGCGGGCCGATTGAAGTCCCAGAGAAGCAGCCCCAGACCATCACCGATCCACCTCCATGCTTGACGGTTTGGAGCTGGTAGAACCGACATCCAACCGGACCGCGAATCCACTTGATACCGTCAGTACCGAACAGATTGAACTTGGATTCGTCGCTGAACACGTGATTAGCCCAATCCTGACGTCCCCAGTGGAGATGAGCTCTGGCCCATGCTACGCGGGCGATTCTGTTCTTCTTGCTGATCGATGGTTTCTTAGCTGGCCGTCGTCCATGGAGTCCAGCATCTTGAAGACGTCTTCTGACGGTTCTCAGGGATGGTGTGACTTCATTTGGAGTCTTCACGACCATCTGAATGTCCGTAGAACTCCTCTGGGGATCCTCTCTTGAAACTCGGACGATGTCCGATCCATGTTATTCGACGTGATACGCGGTCTTCCAGGCGATTTTCGCTCCACCAAGGCTCCCTAAACATTTTTTTCCATAACTATACTATTTTTGAATATTACCTCATCCCGAAACTGCTTCAAGATCTTCTCGATGGCACGTTTAGTAACATTGAACTGCTGCGCCAAGAGGTCCTTGGAACATCCACTTCTGAAGCCGATGACGATGGCTTTACGGATGTCCTGAGAGATGTTTTTTTTTCCGAGGGGTCTGGCCATGTCTGTAAACAGTTTTAAATACATAGGAGCGAAAACCAACATTCTTAGAAACCATAATATCCAAAAATATAAAAATATGAAAAAAGTGAAAAAACGAAAAAATTGAAAAAATTGAAAAAAACAAAAAATTTCTGAAAATGATGCAATTTCCTTGTACGAAATTTGTCGTCACCGTGTACGACATGCACAGTAAAATTTTCAGATCGATCCCTTAAGTTTCAGCAAAGTTACTCTCAAAAAACCGTTTGCGAATACCTTTTTGGCCAGTACTGTATATTACTGTATATAATTCCTCCCTTTTCCATTATTTTTCTCTTCTTAACTTATTAGGCGCTCCTCGTGAGGGGGGCTGCCTTTTTGTTATGTACTGTTGGTCACCGCTCTGAAAATAAATTAATCTAATCTAAAAGCGTCCAATTACGGCAAATGCGCCAAGGCACCAGAAATGCGCCAACGTATCAGTTCTTTGAAAGTACGTCTGAGCGTCTTGACGCATTTCTAGTGCAGTTGGGACAATATATGCTCACCTCATCTCTCCTTGATATGCGGTGTCTGGCAACAGGTTGAAGATTAATCTGAAAAATTGCGAATTCCAGAATTTCACAGTAATCCTCATTTTCTTACTGTATGCTGAATTGGCTTGATCAAATCCTTTGGTTGCTTCTGAAACTCGAGGATTACAATGTTAAGCATAATTGGTTATTTTTAGATGGGAAAGTTGTATGAACTGGATATGGGATTACTGTAAAATCGGAACATTCCAAATACGGTTGAGCTAGCTGGTCCAGTGATAAATTCAATTTCAGCCATGTTCCAGTTTTTTGGATATTCGCGTTTTCAGAGAATATGACAACATCATAATCGGCTTTTCTTTCTTTGCACCATGAACTGGGTGGTTATACTTTATAATAATAGTCTCGGTATTTCACTATAGGTTTAGTCTTGGCAAATGAAAAATCAATTCAATAATAGCAAGATTTCTTCCAATAAATGGAATCAAGGGGTCCCTCAATTAGCTCTGGGTTCTTCTTTTATACTGCTCATTCTCCTCTCCGTTTCTCCATTTCCATAGTCTCTCCTTGTTACACCGTCTCCTCTGCTGCTTTCTCATCAACTCCTTGATTTATAACTCGTAATGTTTTCCTTTGATTTCTGGCGGGATGTCACTTGTTGTCACTTGCAAAATTGCGACAGTTGTTACTTGACGACAGATGTTGGTCGTGCTCGCGACAGCACCAAACGAAACGCTGATTTCTTGCCTTATCCTCGATTCCAGATACAAGTCCTCACCGTCCCGCATTCTGCAAATAATTTGGGATTACTGTAAAAAATTTGGTGTTTATGCCTTATATTGTTTACAATGATATCCAAATTTTAATTTTTTTTTAGGCCAAAAAGTATTGCTCACTCTTAATTTTGAAAATTTCGAAATCCTGACAGTTTGCATGTCTTATCAGTTTATTTTTCAGCAAACAAAAGAGAGAGAGAGCACCGAAAATTGAGAGACGCAGACATTTTCGGCAAAAACCAAAAACCGATTGATATTTGATAACGAAAAGTCAGTATATTCCTCTTACTGTTAAGGATACATCATATTCCCTTTAATTTTTAAGAAATTTTCAAAAAAATTAGAGAGAGAGAGAGAGAGAAAAATGAATACAAATACTTATATGGATGTCTATGGAATCGTTGTTGGCAGGAAGGTAAGAATCATTTGTTTTAGTTTTTGTAGTTGACTCGGGCATGTTGTGAGCTTTATAATGAGTATAAACATGACCTACTTTTCTTGAATTTTGATTTTCGGGGCCCCTAAGCGCCTATAGATGTCAAAAATCAAACTGGACGGAGCCTAGTTGTGTATAAAATCATTTTGAAGCGCTCAACGCGCTAAATTCGAATATAGCATTTTCAAATCAATGAACGTTTTTCAGATACCCAATCTCCAATTTTTCATATGGTGCAAAGAATCAGGATCCGATTTAGTTCTTCAAATGGACCAAAGAAAACCAGTTGAATTGGGCACTTGGGTCCATATGTATTTTAACGGATCCGAATATCAGAATCCAAACTTTCTTATTCATGATTATGTAGTCGTTACGCCAATATATAAAACTGAAGTCATAGGACACACGGTTCGACTTCAATTGGAGCAGTATTTGAATAACAATCTCAAAGAGCTGGACCATTGGTTTTTTGGGAAGATTTAGTGAGTTTTTAATTGAATTTTTGGATTTCATGCGCTAAGAGCTTCGAAATGAGCCCAAACACGACTAGGCTCCGTCCATTTAGATTGTCGGGTTTAAAGGCGCATAGGTGTTATTTAAAGGCGCATAGATGTTAAAGTTTATTACGCAGTAAATTTTAATCTATAAAGAAAAATGCAATTGGGCCAAAATTGACCCAGATACGTTAGTTTTTCTACATGAGACTCAGAAGATTGGGTAAAACTACCGTAACCCGGTCGTGGATTTGCGTTTGGTATTTGGAGAGCTTCAAAATGAGTATAATCTCGACTAGGCTCCGCCCATTTTGAATATTGACTTTAAAGGCGCATGGGGTCTTGATCATTCTGAAGTAGTAAAACTACCGTAACTTGGCTAATTTTTGTCAAAACTGATTTTTCTTGTTGGATCTAAAGTTTGCATGTTTTTTGCTTCAAAATAAGCCCAAACACGACCAGGCTCCGTCCATTTAAATTTTTGGATTTAAAGGCGCCAAAGCCCTGAAAAAACAAAATTTGAAGGAATAGGTCATGATTATACTCATTTTGAAGCTCTGCGCATTTTGAAATAGACTATATTACTTTTAGCTAAATTGATCCAAAAACGTTCCAGTAATAATCGAAACAAGGAGTTTGCACCTGACGTTTATTATCTAACAATCAAGAAAATTCGACAAGATGGCGGAGATATTTGGGTGATGGAGAGCGTCGATAAAACAGAACCCAAGCAACCAAATGTTTCTGGAATTATTGGAATTGTATCGGGAAGTGGAAAGAAGAACAATAAGTATTTCGTTTGGTGCAAAGAGAGAAAGGCCGATTATGATGTTGTCATATTCTCTGAAAACGCGAATATCCAAATTGGAACATGGCTGAAATTGAATTTATCACTGGACCAGCTATCTCAAGAGTATCTGGAATGTCCCAATTTTACAGTAATCCCATATCCAGTTCATACAACTTTCCCATCTAAAAATAACCAATTATGCTTAACATTGGAGTTAGATATTCCAGAAGGTTCACAGAACCTTTCACATCCATTTGTGGGAGAGATTATGTAAGTCTATCTGTGTGTCAAAGTGTCTAGATGTCCCATTTTTTCAGAAATATCATTGAACCATTTAGACAAACCGGGAGATATTCGATAACTATAATGAGGAAAAAAATCGGAACACAAATTGGATGGTTCTTGACAGCGAAACAATTGGTGACATTTTTTTTTGAAAAATACAGTAATCCTCGAGTTTCAGAAGCAACCAAAGGATTTGATCGAGCCAATTCAGTATACAGTAAGAAAATGAGGATTACTGCGAAATTCTGGAATTCGCAATTTTTCAGATTAATCTTCAACATGTTGCGAGACATCATATATCAAGGAGAGATGTGGTGAGAATATATTGTCCCAACTGCACTAGAAATGCGTCAAGACACTCAGACGTATTTTCAAAGAACTGATACGTTGGCGCATTTCTGGTGCCTTGGCGCATTTGCCGTAACTGGACGCTTTGCTGGTTGTCCAAACATTTTTTTTTGATTCCGTGACGCGTTTCTTGTGCATTCGCGCGTTATTAGTGCTCCTTCTTTCAGCTCGAACCAGATTCTCCACCCCAAACTGCACCCAGATATTCTCGTAATCAGCACCAGACCGACATTCTGGGCTCACAATTTGATACGTTGCTCAATACTGTAGGACTGAAAAAAAAACATTTGGACGTCTGGAAATAAGAATTTTGCAGACTAACCGACCTTCTACAAGTTCCAATCAACCTGGAAATTGGAATCCAGTTCAAACAACAGTAAGACAATATACTAGTGTATATTTCGGATAGTTTTGTAACAATATAATTTCAGAGAACTTCTCGCCCACAGCGATCATCATCGAGACCAAGGAATGAGGTTAGTAGCACCAGAAATGCGCCAATGCACCGGAACGATGTCAAGAGCCTTTTTGAGAAACAAAGTTATTTTTCAGACATCTGCTCAAACAACAACTTCAAGACAACGATCATCATCAAGACCAAGGAATGAGGTTATTAGCTCCAGAAACGCGCCATGGCACCGAAAATGTGTCTAACTGTTTATTCGAGTAATAAGAAACTTTTTTCAGATACCCGCTGGTCCACCAGCTCCAAGACAACGATCAACATCAAGACCTAGACACCATGTGAGTATAAACATTTTAAAAAGGCACCGGAAATGCGCAAAGGCGTTTCTCGTGCAACGAAAAGTCGAAACTTTCAGGAAAATCCAATTCGGCCAATTTTGAAACAGCAGCTGAGACCAAGAAGTCTGGTGAGTTGAACTGAAACATTAACTATTTCTTGAAAGCATTAGAAATGCGCCACGGCACTGTCAAGACAAACTTTTAGTGTCTAGGCGTCGTTCTCGCTGTTTGAAAATAACATTGTTTTATTCACAGAGTCGGGTTCAATTCCAATCCTCAAACGCAGAAACCCCTAACGTTGAACTCACTGGAATCGTCGTGGCAGAATCCCCGTATTTCTTCTACGTGTGGTGTCGGGAACGTCTTCCAGGATTAGATCTTGCAATTCCAAAATCTGAGTCTCGTTCTCTCACCGATTGGATCCAATTCTCAATTACTCGTGATGAATTGGATAGTTCATTCCCATCTGACCCAAAATTTCAAATAAGAGAGGTTCGAAGAATCACATCGAAATTTCCAACGGATTTATCAAAAACCGGAAAATCGGTGACCATAAAAATCGATATGGAAATCGAGAGAAATCCAAGAATTGAAGATATTCATCATGATGTTATGGGTCTTATTATGTGAGTTTCAAAACGCGACGAAGTTGCGCGAGTCTAATCTTTTTGTTGTAGAAATGAGAAATTCAAATTTGAAGAATCAGGAAGGTACACCATCACCATTAGTAGATTCAAAAGCAAGAAAGAAGAGAATCCGAGAAGTGTGTGGCATCTGAAGTTTCGTGAATTGGTTAGTGTATCGAGGATTGCGTCGAGGCACTAAAAAAGCGCCAATACTGTAGTTGAAAAATAATAGTTTAGGTCATACTTGTAATCCGAGCCTTTGCCGGGCCTTGCCATAACTTCTTTCAGAATCAATGTTTTCGAACCAACTCAATCAGGTATGATAGAGCTCCACGAGGTCTACAAAACGGTATTATTTGGAATACTGTATCTTGTCTATGAACAGAGTTACAGAGCAAAAGGAGCAAAAAAAAGCAGGCGCTCCGCAAGAAAAGCCACTTTATGATCTGTAACTTTGTTCATAGATAAGATACAGTAATCCAAATAATACCGTTTTGTAGTACTTGTGGAGCTCTATCATATCTGATTTAGTTGGTTCGAAAATATAGATTCTGAAAGAAGTTATGGCAGTGCCCGCGAAGGCCCGGAAAAGGCCCGGATTACAAGTATGGTTTAGGCTCCACCCACTCCAATGCCTTCACAATTGCCTGTAGCCGACGAGAGCAATCGGAAAAGAGCAATAATTCTGAACATTTCAAATTTCGAACACCATGAAACAATCAATGTATGGATTCTTGATGTGAAACAGTGAGTTTTAGGACTTCGAAAATTTTTTTCAAAAAAAGAAGTTCTCAATTTTCAGGCAAGGCATTGTTAAATTGAATGCGCCTACGGAGAAGTTGAATCTGGCAGCTGGAGACATGTTCGAAGCAGATTTGTCCAACACGAATGGGGTAATTTTTTTTTGAAATGTGGGAATTACTGTAGTCCTTTTTTACAGACTTGGTTTTCGTCTGGTCCAATCACAAAAGTTAAGAATTCATATACAACAAGACCAAGTAACAATAGCGGTCAAGTGGAAATTCTATTGAGCGTAAAAGTTGTCAGCGATTCGCATCCAAGTTATCGTTGCTCCTGGATTGATCACGAACATTTTGGAGACATTGTAAGTTGTCAGGCTGTGCGAACTGTTTAAAGATTTGATAATGTTTGGATTTGGCGCGTCAAGAGCTTCAAAATGAGTATGAAAATGCCCAGGCATCGCTTATTTTTAATTGTGTGACTTCAAAGGCGTTATTATACTCGTTTTGAAGTTCTAAATGTGCCAAATTCAGAAATGCGAATTTCTTACAGCTAGATATCAACAACGAGGTCCGAAACCACTTGAACTTGGTTTACAAAATTTGGATTCAACGCGCTCGAGTCGACAACACCTATCAATGGGTTGTGTTGGAGCAGGAGCAAACTTAATGACCAATGAATAGGGTTTCCATTTGGGGGGGGGGGGGGGGATTCACCCGCCCGCACCCGCCCGGGGGGCTCACCCCCCGCGGCCCCCCGTTGGCTCCCCGCGATTATTTACGTGAAGAAAATTTTATCTTTTTCGCTGTTTTTTGATTTCAGACTCTTTTTTTCTTGGAAACTACGTGATTATCGGCACATA